CGGATTTCTCGGATCACAGCTCACGCTAGGTATTGCTTGACCTGTGAGCCCTGGCCCCTATCATCCGATCGCGCAATTCCCGGTCAACGGCACAATTTGGTGGCAAACGTTTAACATGCCGCAGTGCTCGGCACGGTCCGTCCTGCTCTCCGACGTTTCCGGACCTCTAGCGCGGCCGCTGTCACCGATGGCAGGCCATGCCTGTCATAGGCGAACAACGAACACCTAAAGCGTCTCGAACCCACCCCGCCACGGTTGGGTGGTGGAATCGGAAGATAGGCTCCCTAACCAACCGAGCCATCGGGACGGACCAGTGGATCGTGTGCTGGTCGAGGACACGCGCCAGTTTTAACCGATGACAGATGCAGGTCGCGACCGATCGAGCGCCTGCAGCACAACAGGCGCCAGGCGTGGAGCACCCCCTCAGGCGTGGCGCCACCACAGAACAGACCCTCAGTGATGTTGGCAAATACGCCGTCTCGAATAAGACTGCCTAAGACACGGCACATCAGACGCGGCACAGAGTGGATCCCGATCCAGGGAGGCTCATAGCACAACGGATGTATACCATAACACCCTTGAACGGGGTGATAACACCACCGAACTTCAGACCATCGCGCGAGAGTAGAACTTGGAAGTAAGCCTTAGTAAGATCTGAAGGAATAATGTACTTCCAGGTGCCGATATTACGAAGGGTGAACTCGACGTCAGACACGAGATACGGATGTAGTCTACTCATGGTGGCTAACAGAGGACAGGTCGGTCGCATGACGGGTACCTCCACCGGGCATGTCGACCAGAAACCAGGGATGGACGTGTTCCACAACGACGGGCAGAACTTCACGTTTTTCAAAAACTCCATGCTTTTCCATCCCCGAGCGTCTCCATCTCTCCGAGCGTCTCCATCTCTCCAAGCGTCTCCATCTGAGCAATTTTGGCTCAGAGCTCGGTCAGGCGCCGGTAATCGTACTCAGAGCTTGATCAGGCACCGGTAATCGTACTTAGTTTGAAGAGGTCGGACGACTAATATACGACTCAGTATAGCGTACAGCTTCTACTTTGAAGGTGTTGGACAGAGCAGCATTGACCACACCCTGAAACGGTCCGCAGGTACCAATGTAGCCGGGGAAGACCGGGCTCATGGTGGACTGATGCTCGGAGACCACGGTATTGAACTGAGACCGAAGAGCGTTGCAGGGGATGTGCTTGGGATTGATTTGAACCAAATCAGGCGCCGAGGCGAGCCGATACGTCGGCGAGGGCATGGCGCCAAGGCAAGGTCTTGCACACTCGAACCGCGACGAGACTGAATCTTTGAGCGGCGCGAATTAAGTTTGAAAGACGGCATTTAGGAAGCGGTATTTTTTTAGGAAGCAGTATTTTACGGTGGCCATTTGCGCACTCCCGGCACCCGCTCGCCTGCCGCCGTTTGCAATGATCAACGCCGTTCGGTTTTACGGAGCTGCAACACCGGCCTCAGCTGTTCTTGCTTCTAAGATTACAAACGCTCAGACTCAAAACTTTGCATGCAGTTTGTTTCATAAGCCGATTTGGCAACAGGATTGACGTTCTCAGACAAGCATGAGTTGACGTCTTACCCTTTACCTTATTTCGATCCCCTCTATTGAACGCTGCAACCTTTCACCTTTTTCCGGGGAAGGGGCACCGTGAGCAGAACACTGAGGGCAACATCATCATTCCTGGCCAAGGGCTAACGGACAATTTCGTTTCAGCGCCGCGTGCCTGCCGGCTACCATTTTGGCGACACGACGACGGGGTCCCTGGTCTGTTCGGAGGCCATTAGAGGGATACATTGGTCCCCTCCCTGATGTGGGAGGCCCTCTGACCCGGGCATTATGCCTCATGTCGACACGGAAGCGCTCATTGACGCAATACGATCCATATCGTCTAGGGTGGTCCAATAATTGCACATGTACTCCAGGGCGGCTACACGGGCCTTAGGCTGAAACGGGGTAGAAGACCCCCATGCCCGATACTGGGCCCTGACTGACACACGGCCCTCCAAGTTCTCACTGTAGATCTCATCCCAGGCCGTCATATCTCCTCTCGTTGTCAGAGGCCCCGACCAACGCGAGAGGCCCTCTGGCACTCGGGATTCAGTCCCTGTCCGTGTTCAGCAAATGTACTCCTGGCTAACTCGGGACCAATTGCCAACACAGTACCTCTGTTACACACTGTGAGCCCCCGGCTAACACAGGACTCCACATTGTTGCGGGGGCTCCGACCGATGCAAATCGCGGGTCACGGCCCCCTCCCCGTTTGGAAGATGGGCTCCCGGGGCTAGGACCGACAAAGAACAGACTGATTGGTGTTGGTTGTCTCTGGCTAAAACGGGGCCCACATTGTCCCCGGGGCCTCCTATCGGTGTGAGAGGCCCTCTGACTGACATTTGAGATCACGGCCGTACGGGCGAGAGTCCCTAATGTGACCACCAGCCAGATTTTTGGGGCCCTTCAGCCTTCCAATCGGAGACGTGAGCGCTGGACTCGTCCCTTGGGGCCTTTCTAACCCCTCTTTGCCCCCCCCCCCTCCTTCTTCGGGCCCCTTCATACGCGGCCCCTGGCCGACTCGGGCCACTTGCCGAAGCAGGGACCCCGTTGATCACTGTGGCCCCTAACAGAGAGGGAGCCCCTCCCCGTTTCACGAACCCAGCCCAATGCGGATCGCAGGCCCAAACATTGTTCTTGCTCGAGACATGAACCTATCAAGTCGTGCAACTCTGCAATGCACTCACCGCGCAACATCGTCAACATTCAATGGAAGACACACACGGTGCGGACAAGAGAACACCAGTCGTATTCCACTTGGTGTTTACAGGTGACGCAATCTTTTTGCAGTCTTTGAGCCACTGTAAGATGATGCACCTAACGAGCGTTTCATAGTTCCATTCCATGATGTACTCCATGTCAGACATTCTGATGTATTGCGTTGCAAATCATGTCAATTAATTTCTCATCCTGCAGCATACATAGCTCCGGCGTTGTAAGGCAATGGAAAACACAAAAGCGAAGGACGTTCGAGCATGGAAAAGAACTACCCAACTACATTCGAGCGCGTGCATGGCAGTTTCACGTTTTTGAAATGGTCGGCAGCGATCAAAAATGGTGACGGGTCCCAAACCACGTGTTTTTTTTTGTAGCTCGAGTAGCCGTCCGCGTTTTAAGATCCTTGCGTCGCTACTTAAGGTGAAACACACGGCACCATTGCATTCTTACGCTCTACGAAGGCACGATAATTAAGTGTGGACGCATACAGGCGGCGGTAACATAGCGAACGATCCTTACGTCAAACATCCAAGCTCTCCAGGTTTAGACACAGGCACCACCTGTGGAAGCTCAAAACAGCCGGACTACCGGCACCAAGGCACGTCGTCATCAGCACGTTCATAAAATATATCACAAGTCCCGATACATGAGATTGGTCAGCTATGCGTAGCCACACGCGCACAAAAGCACATCACTGAGCGCTAGCGCGTGGCCCGCTCCTGACGTACGCACCATCTAGCGGCCAGTCCTCGGCACGCGCTCGGACGCTGGCATGCCCCCCTGCTCGCCAGCCGGGCCTCGAACGAAGCGCGCGCTGCGGCGGTGCCTCAGATGCTCAGGAGCTCGCACGCGTCGAGCAGCGTCTCAGTGTCGGCCGTCACCAGGAAGCGGAGGCGCAGCTCGTCGGCTAGTGGCGGTGGCGGCGCGCGCACGGCGCCGCCCAGCTGCGCGGCCCGCTCGCGCCGCAGCCAGCTGGCGGCGTCGGCCGGCGCCAGTGCGTTCGGTGCCCATAGCACGCAGCCGAGCACGGCGGCGGCGCGGCGCAGCGACCGCACGTCGTCGCGCTGCAGCAGGCTGGCCAGCAGCTCGAACGTAGTGATGCACGGCACGTCTGGTACGCTGCTGACACCACGGCCGTCGCGCGCGCGCCGCGCCGCCTCCGGCACGCCCAGCAGCTGCAGCAGGACCGTCAGCGTCGCCAGGCACGGAGAGAGCGGCTGGCCGCACTGCAGGTCGGCCAGCACCGCCGCTAGGCGGCTTTCCTCCTCGCGGTCGGTCTGCAGCACCAGCAGCTGGTGCAGCGATTCGTCGACGGTCGACTGGCCGCGTGCCTCCAGCGCCATCAGCTGCTGCACTGTCTGCAGCAGCAGCAAGCAGACGCGCCGCGCCTGCTGCTCGGAGGTCACTGGCGGCTGCGTGGCAAGCAGGGCGGCGAGCGGCTGGACTCGCGCCGCCGGCAGCACGTGGACGGTGGCTGCTGGGACGGGCGGCCCGGTCAGCGGCACGGGCGGCGCGAGGAGGCTGACACAGCGGTTGACGAGGGCAAATGGGGAGTTTTTAAGGTTTAACAGAGAACGAGTGTAATGCGTTAAGGGGCGTGCCGTTGCCGCGTCACAAACGAGGCGTTGCAGTACCTACGCCCATGGAGGCGATGAAGTGAGGTGCAGCTGGCTTTGAGTCAGAAATACTTGACCTCACGGTCAGAAGTCAAACGTGACTCCCCTCCGTGTCTTGATTTTGGCAGGCTGGATTGCGTAGGTCACTACAAGGGTCGGGAGAAGCAACTATGCATGACAGGATGACATGGTGTTCTTATGTTCCAAACACAGCAACTGTGTTGACCACTTTACTCACAGCTCTCACGTGCGCTGACAACAAGTGGGCAAAGACGGGCAACACGAGCAGTCATACAACACCGATAGCGTTGGATGAGCGGTCCGGCCAAGCGTGAGGCGATCCACCTCGGTCCCACGGCCTCCCAGTCCGCACCATCGAAGCCAGTTACTACCAGAGGAGGCCGCGACGCCGCCCACTAACCTAGAAGCCCCGAGCCGCCCGCCTCCTGGCCGCCGTCGGCCAGCAGGTGGGCCGGCACTGTGTCCGTGAACTGCGCCACAGTCGGTAAGGAGAGGGGCGGCGCGCCGGTCGCGCCGGCCGTCAGCAGCAGCGCCACCGGCGCGGCGCCCCAGCGCGCCTGCACCAGCGCGTGCGGCCCCACCGACAGCCGACGCTCGTCCGACACCTGAAAATCGCGCAGCACGAGCGGCGCCGTCTGCAGCGGCCGGAGCGCGTCCGGCACGGCGCCGTACCGCGCCATCTGTCGGCAGGGACGTGTACTAGTCCGTGGCCGGCGGGGCAGCCCGGGAGGTGGTGGCCCGGAGCGGGGCAGCCCGGGAGCGGGACAGCTCAGGAGCGGGCCGGCCAGGACGCGGGATTGATGGCAACTGCCATGATAACCTAGCAGTGCTGACAGCGAGACACCCCACCATAAACTTTCGCTGGCCATGACGGACAGGACTGGGATCAGAAAAAGAAAGGAGATCGGGCACAGCGATAATCAATGGGCCTGCGCCGCAGATTCCGGGGCAGACAGCAACAAGCAGACACAGTAACGATTATGAAGCATAAGCGGCCTCCCGTTATCATCTTTACCAGCTGCTGCACCAGATTTGCATGTCGTACGCAGACAAAAGGTAAGCAATTATACATACAGCTGGCACGCACCGGGTGTAGGGGGATATTTTTAGATGCATAAACATCGCTGTTGTCTAGCACACCATAAGTTCACCTTTCGCGTTACCCAGAACTACGCATCAGTCGGCTCCATACGCGTACCACCACCGAGCGCTGGCCACAGCTGCAGTCCGGGCCGCGCTCCGCCGACGCACCTGGTCCACCACCTCCCGCAGCGCGTCCAGGTTGCTGACCGCGACGGCGTCATAGTTCTCCTCCAAGCTGGCCGGCACGACGGAAGCCGGCTTGCGCAGGCTGACCCGCGACGGGTGCTGGCGCCACCTGTCGTCCCCTGCTGCCGCCGGCTCGGCCGCCGGCTGTGGCAGCGGCACACGGCACAGAGGTCAGCCACGAACGACCCCCAAAGTTGGGCTCACGTGCCGCTGACAGTAACACCTCTCACGGGCCGGGTCACTAGCGCTGACAGGGCAATCTACCTACGGAGCTGAGTCTAATCTACGGAGTTGTGACTTCTTCGGGGAAAAAACGCCGTTCTATTTCACTGTCTCTGGTTGTTCTCTGCTGGAGTGAAGCGCCTTTAAAGAAAGCGTTTTGCAGTGTTTATCTGTCTTATGCTAAGTCAGGTAACTATTTGCAGATGCAAGCTTGCCTTAGTGGTGCTTTCGACAAAGTGGCAGTCACATTTGACACAGGCATGCGGCATCATGCGTTTGACATATTCCATACCAGAATAAACTAGAAAGCAGGCAGTGCGTGCACGCCATACTATGCACATAGTTAAAACATCGGATGCCAGATCGGTAGAAACCAGCCTGGCCATGTGGTGACTCATGCGGGGACTACGGGCTTTCCTTTCACCGCCACGTTGAGTCCAGCCCGGTCCAAAAACCATGCAGAGTGACAACGCTCCGCAACAAAGCCGGAGCCGAACAGAGGGGAGCCTTCCGTGAATCACGCCGGCGTGCAAGGTCAGCCGGTGCCCGGCGAGGTGGGGGAGGGGGTGCGACTCAGACGCGCGCTTCGGGCCCCACTGGCGCCGCTGTCCGAGCCGGCGGCGGTCAGGCGCCAGCGACGCCGCCGGTCACGAGTGTCACCTCCGTGTTTGCGCAACCGCCGCGCCACGTCCGCTACGTGTGTCGGTGGTCACGTGTCACGCACCTTGCCGTGCTGCGGCCGGCAGCCGTGCTCGGCGGCGTCCTCGGGCGCGACCGCCTGGCGGCAGGCCGCGCCCCGGCCCGGCTTCGCCGGCGTCAGGCCGGCCCGGCTGGCGCCGCCTGCGGGTGCAGCGGCGTCTGAACATAGCACGTCGCCCCCGAGCGGCACCACACCAACACACGTGGAGGGAAGGAGCATGCGGTGCTGCCTCGTCGCCGCCTTCCCAGATGGATGCAGGGTGGTTAGGCACGGCGTGAAGTGCGGGTTGATTCGTTCTCTCAGGTTTTGGCTTTGAACAACGACATACCACTTGGGGCAGGCTGCGTGACCTCGAGTGAAAGCCAACTCGGCGGAAGTCAACACCTCTTCGTTTTCTCCAGACCTGGGCAAGCGTTTGCTTCTCGGTATGGCGAAATGGGCATGCTTTCTTTGAAACGTGAGCAGGACTCACGCTTGGCTAGTCGTGCATGTGCTTTGCCAGCGATCACACAGCCTTGGTGCGGTGCCTGCCCCAGTGCAGCAGTTAGAGCCGTCTTCTTTGCATAGTACCTCACTTTTGACTGAGGTGGCATTAGCGTGGGAGCTTTTCTCGCATCGCCTGTCGTTATGCAGCGCCGTCTTATCCGTATTTGGGTTCATAGCACGGCCCAGAGTCTCGCGGTGCGTCCAAGTAGAAAGTAAACCGTTAAAACCTTTACCACGAGCGGCCTCGCGAATTATCCTCTAACGGCATCGCCCGCTGGTTTACGAGACCGGCTGACTGTGCCGAACGGAACGCGCAGGCAAAATAGGTCCCACCAAACTGAATGAACAGCAGCTTTCAGTTTCGACGGGCGACCGGCTGGCTGTGTCGAACGGAACGCGCAGGCAAAACAGGTCGCACCAAGCTGAATGAACAGCAGCTTTCAGTTCCGACGGGCGACCGGCTGGCTGTGCCGAACGGAACGCGCAGGCAAAATAGGTCGCACCAAACTGAATGAACAGCAGCTTTCAGCTTCGACGGGCGAGACAAGGGCAGAAAATTACTGCCTCCTTTAGAGCCTTGTAGAGCCATGGGTGTAACCACGTCTCTGAGACTGGAGGAGACCAATCACGATTGGAGGGTTCGAATCGGAGTTGAGGAGGACCACCTGACTTAGAAATGACATTTTGAATGAAAAAACGTGCAAACATGCATTCTCGCTGAAAAAACTTGAGGAGAGGTAACACATTTCCAGAAAATTGGGAAGGATGTGTCCCAACTCTCCATCCCGATTGATTTCTTCCCCTCCTGGTTATATCTTTCCCTCGTGGTTTCACCCATGGCAGACGGCACAAAACTGACCTGATGAAATTGATATTCATTAGCTTCAAAGCGAGCTGAAAATTGAGCCCCCGACTTGGAACAGGTATAACATCACCGAGTGGCTTCGCAGTGTTCCCCGCGGGCCGTGACTCCGCTACGAGCAAACAAGCTGGGGCCGTGGAGGATTTTACGGTTTTTGCCATGCAACGCTTACTCGTAAAGCTCATTCCAACAGATAAAAAACTGTGATGTTTTCGACCAAACTCCCCCACCACTGACAGGACACCGATCCACTTGTCTTACAGAAGGCTCCGTGCAAATAGGCGTATACCTACCCACGATATGGTTTAGTATGTAAGGCGCATACTTCCCAATCAGAAGGGACAATGAGGTATCAGGCTGATCCACTTCACCCCAGTCCCATGTAAGCGCACTAGAGGCCGAAATCCTCGATCCACCAAGACACCTGTAAATGACGCATTCCAGCTGAGGCCCCGCGGCCCGGGCGTGTGACGCATTCCAGCCGAGGCCCCGCGGCCCGACCGTGTGCACATGCTGCCAGCACCGCTGCAGACGGTCCCGCGGCGCCCCGGTGCTGCGAGCGGCGGCCCGAGACACGTCAGAGCACTACGCCCTGCGCCCCGCCCTCGCCCCGACATGCTCGGGCCTGTCGTGCTGGCCGCGCTCACCCAGGTTGGCGTAGTCGGTCTCGGGCGGCCCGACCGGCCGAGACCGAGCGTCCCGGGACCGGCTGAGCAGCTGCGGGTTGGGCGGCGGCGGCCGGCTGGGCGGCGTCGGCGGCGGCCGGGGCTCGCCCCCCTGCCGAGACGCCGCCGGCGGCGGCGGCGGCGGCGGCGGCTTGGGCCGGCCTGCGGTCAGGTTACGGACGTGAGCGGCGGGCGTGGGGGCGGGAATACCGGCGAGGCCTTCAAGCAAACGTGTCCAGTGACTGCAGCGCTGGTGACGACAACTACAAGCTTAGAATTTGATTTAGTGTCGCTGCGAACGATGGCGGAACGGAAACAACGGCACCCACAAACTGTTGGGGCCTCCTTGACCGTGTACTGCATCGCCTGCCCGGGTTCATGGCATGGCTGCATTGCATCTCTCATGACGACAGCCGGCGGCAAGGCGACCGGCCACATAACACGCATTAATGAGCCATGAGGAAACAGACCGGCGCGGTCAGCTTGGTCAGCTTCCGGGACGATTATCGCCACGCATCCAAGGCCACAACATTTTTACAGAGGTCGGACCGCTCTGGCCGTCACTGGGTCCTTTCCTGTCCAGCGCAGTAGCCTCGATGCTAGACTTGAACGGTCAGGTATCCAGTGTAAACCGGAAATTCCGTTGAGAATTTCCCCAGATCTACATCACGCCGCGCTCGACCCCGGCAATCAAAATAATACGCGGCTGTCGCTCCGCACAGTGGGCCCTTGCGCTTGTCGCTCCGCACAGTAGGCCCTTGCGCTTGTCGCTTCGCACAGTGGGCCCTCGCGCTTGTCGCTCCGCACAGTGGGCCCTTGCGCTTGCCGCTCCGCACTTGTCGCTCCGCACAGTAGGCCCTTGCGCTTGTCGCTTCGCACAGTGGGCCCTCGCGCTTGTCGCTCCGCACAGTGGGCCCTTGCGCTTGCCGCTCCGCACAGTGGGCCCTTGCGCTTGTCGCTCCGCACAGTGGGCCCTCGCGCTTTTCGCTCCGCACAGTTGGCCCTTGCGGTTGTCGCTCCGCACAGTGGCCCTTCGCGCTTTTCGCTCCGCACAGTGGGCCCTTGCGCTTGTCGCTCCGCACAGTACGCCCTCGCGCTTTTCGCTCCGCACAGTTGGCCCTTGCGGTTGTCGCTCCGCACAGTGGCCCTTGCGCTTTTCGCTCCGCACAGTGGGCCCTTGCGCTTGTCGCTCCGCACAGTGGGCCCTCACGCTTTTCGCTCCGCACAGTTGGCCCTTGCGGTTGTCGCTTCGCACAGTGGCCCTTGCGCTTTTCGCTCCGCACAGTGGGCCCTTGCGGTTGTGGTATTTCAATATGAGGGGGAATTTTTCAACGACTAATGACAATGATAATTTCAATGACTAATGAGGGGGGAGCTGCACTTCGGCGGTCGCGTGACATTTCATCATATGTAGGCCTCCATCGTCAACTCGCATCAAAATCCTATCACAGCCCACCATGCGCGAGCATTGCTCACATGCTTGCGTCACATTATGCATGACACTTAAAACCAGCAGCTTCATCTATGAGGCGACTCATGATACATTAGGAAGCAGCCAGCTAAGCTCTCCATTCCTGGTCGGGCGACACGAGTCAACACGAGTACCGAACAGCACCTATCAAACTCGCTCAAAGACTTCGTTCGGGTGAGGAGGCCAAGCGCCCATGCGGACACTGCTCACGACCGATCGGGCATACCCGCTGATGGCCCTCATAACTAGTGTCGAGTCTGACCTGAGGAAATATCTGGACACTCCATTAAGAGAACACCCGAACGAGGAAGGTGATTGAAAGAATGGCAACAGGAAGTGCATGGAGCTCACAAAAAAATCTGGTTCGATTCCCCCATTTATGTTGTCATATCCTTATATGAACTCGACGGGGATCTAGGGGAGGGGGGGGGGGGGGGATCAATGGCATCGCGTTCAAATGCATTAAGTCCGCCTAGAGCGTGTTCAGCTGGTGACCACGACGATTTTCGGTAGTCCAAAAACATCCAAAAATTAGAAGTTAGTTAATGTTATCCGAAGGCTACTCGTCCAAACCACGAAACGGCAACGGCCCCATCGCCGCGCACATACATCCCTCGTCAGAGAACAACACGTCTGGTGAAGAGTTCCGTGAACTCATCGCCAGCTGACCCCGGCGGGCTGCCCTCTGCCACCCTCCGTCCGGGCCGGCCGACCGGCCGGACCGCCACTGACCTACATGGGCCGGCGGGCGGCGGCCGCGCTCACCGCAGGCGACGACGAGCGTGAAGCCAGCCGCCGGCGCCGAGCGCGCGGGCCACCTGCTCCCATTGCTGGCGATTCGGGGTCGGCGGCTGGGCGGTGGGCCGCACCGGCCGATCAGGGAGGGGGAGGAGGAGGAGGAGAGGAGACGGGACACGGGACGCAGGACAGACGGGACATGACACAAAATAAACATGGCCCGACATTGGGCAGAAGACACACGCACACTGAATGGACAGGACACGGATAGCGGACAGATGGGGCAAACTAGACGTCGACACGGACACTGACAGCGCAGACAGAACGGCAGGCTGCGTATGCACGACAGACGGCGCAAACAGGACGGCAGAACATGGATATGCACAACAGGCGGCGCAGACAAGACGGCAGACCATGGGTGCAGGCAGGACGACAGACTGTGGATATGCACGACAGGCCGTGCAGACAGGACGGAAACAGCGAGCAAGCAGCATGCGGGTACGATACATATCAGAAACGGCAGACGAATACATAACAGAGCTGCCCCGCCAGGACAAACATCTCGTTCACAGTCCGCACATGTCCCTGAATAGACAGGACAGGTATCGTGCCATACATCTCACTGAAATCAACACCTACCACACGCACGACCGACGGCAGTCGCGACAAACAGCGGCCCGCACGACAGGGCGAATAACTCCGACCGTTAACACGGCCCGACGCAGCTCAGTGGTCGGGGTTAGATAGCTGGGCAGTGCTCTCACAGTGTCACAAACGACACACCGAGTGCACTCAGTGACGTCAGGGCAGCTCTCGACAGATTCCCCGGCCTTCCAAAGGCACTCAGACGGATAAAGCTCGTGTTGTGAGGCAACGGGCCTCTGGAGAAAGCGCCGGCGCTGAAGTGGAGATCGATCCATCGTCTCAGAAGTACGAGATCACCATGTACCTTTGCGACAGGACTGACTGGCAGCACAAAGGTGTGGAGAACTGATCGACTGCCGTGACAGCCTCGACATACATAGGTGACGCATGTGCTATGGATGCACGCACTACGGGCGCCACAGCCGGGCCGCAGCTGCCCGGCCACAGCCGGGCCGCAGTCGGGCACATCTACCGGGCCACAGCTGCCGGGCCACAGCCGGGCCGCAGTCGGGCCACAGCCGGGGCACAGTTACCGGGCCATAGCTGCCGGCTGCTGCCGGGCCACAGCCGTGCCACAGCTACCGGGCCATAGCCGGGCCACAGCCGGGTTACAGCCGGGCCATAGCTGCCGGGCCACAGCCGGGCCACAGCCGGGCCACAGCCGGGCCACAGCCGGGGCAGCGCAGGGATGTAACTCCAAACTCGCCACATGGCTGTGAATAAATAGCCCACGGCATCACGTCACCTGTCGGCCGACGCGGCGCGGTCGAAGCCATGTAACGGCATGCAGGTGCACGAGGTCGTCACGGCTGGGCGGCGTCCGCGGGTGCGAGGCATCATGAATGTAGTTGCAAGTCTGCGTCCGTTTGGTAAAATGCCCGTTAACATCAGGGTAACACCAAAGCCATGGTCGTGACTTCCGCTTACTCCGTGAACGCAGAGGAGTGAGGGAGGAAGGGAAGAATGAAGGGAAGGGGGGAGTGATTCGGGAGGGGACGATTGTGGAGAAAGGAAGAAGAACGGAGGGAAAAGGAGACAAGGCAGAGAAGAAAGATTGGGAAGGGTAAGGGGGATGAGCAGCGGGAGGGAAAGACGAACGAACAGGGAGAGGGAATAAGGGAGAGAGGCGGGCAGAGCACGAGAAAGCCAAGAGCCAAGAGCCAAGAGCCAAGAGCCAAGAGCCAAGAGCCAAGAGCCAAGAGCCAAGAGCCAAGAGCCAAGAAGCAAGAGCCAAGAGCCAAGAGCCAAGAGCCAAGAGCCAAGCGCAAGAGCCAGAGCCAAGATCCAGAGCCAAGAGCCAAGAGCCAGGAGCCAAGCCAGAGCCAGGAGCCAGGAGCCAGAGCCAGGAGCCAGGAGCCAGGAGCCAGGAGCCAGGAGCCATGGAGCCAGGAGCCAGGAGCCAGTAGCCAGAGCCAGGAGCCAGGAGCCAGCCAGGAGCCAGGAGCCAGGAGCCAGGAGCCAGGAGCTCAGGCCAGGAGCCAGGTCCAGAGCCAGTAGCCAGAGAGCCCGGAGCCAGGAGCCAGAGCCAGGAGCCAGGAGCCAGGAGCCAGGAGCCAGGAGCCAGAGCCAGTAGCCAGAGCCAGGAGCCAGGAGCCAGGAGCCAGGAGCCAGGATCCAGGAGCCAGGATCCGAGGAGCCCGGAGCAGAGAGAGAGAGAGAGAGAGAGAGAGAGAGAGAGAGAGAGAGAGAGAGAGAGAGAGAGAGAGAGAGGAGAGAGAGACGAGAGGAGAGAGAGAGAGAAGAGAGAGAGAGAGAGAGAGAGAGAGGAGAGAGAGAGAGAGAGAGGAGAGAGAGAGAGAGAGAGAGAGAGAGAGAGAGAGGAGAGAGAGAGAGAGAGAGAGAGAGAGAGAGAGAGAGAGAGAGAGAGAAGAGAGAGAGAGAGAGAGAGAGAGAGAGAGAGAGGAGGAGAGAGAAGAGAGAGAGAGAGGAGAAGAGAGAGAGAGAGAGAGAGAAGAGAAGAGAGGAGAGAGAAGAGAGAGAGAGAGAGGAGGAGAGGAGGAGAGAGAGAGAGAGGAGAGGAGATGAGAGAGAGAGAGAGAGAGAGAGGAGAGAGAGAGAGACCCGACCTCAGCGAGGACGGCTGGCAGCCGAGCCAGACAGCCCTTCCGGCCACCAAAGGCCGTTAGTCTCGCCACCTCAGCGGCAGTCACTGCGGCGATAACGGAACTGCTCTATTCGTCACTGCCGCCAGAGCGGTCGGTGTCATCGCCGCCAGAGCAGTCGGCGTCACAGCCGCCAGAGCAGTCGGCGTCACCGCTGCCAGCTCAGTCGGCGTCACCGCCGCCAGAGCAGTCGGCGTCACCACCGCCAGAGCAGTCGGCGTCACCACCAGCCTGCACGCAAATGAGCCGTCTGTTCGGAGGCCTTGACGAGGATCCGCCTCTGGGGATCACGCCTTAAAGATATTGGCGGCGCCCTGAGCCGCCGGCAGCGCCAGCTCGCCCGCTAACACTTGGCTAGTGCGGCGTCCCAAATAGGCAAACACGGGGTGGCCGGCGCGGGGCGCGTCTGTCAGTGCCAGGAGCGGAACCGTGACCAGGTAACCGGCGCAGCCCGCCGCCGTCGCCCGTCCGTGTCGGCACGAGCCGCCGCTAGGTGACAGCGAGCACGGACCATTGGCGGTGCGGCGGCCGGCGCGGCGGGGCGGGGGTCCGCCGCGCCGGCCGCCGCGTCCCCGCCGCGCCTGGGTGCGTCCCGTCCATGACGCATGCCGCTAGACCGCGCAGGCCGGCCCGGCACCGCACGGACCGATCAAGGATGGCGGGGAGGGCGAAAGGGTGGTATCCACCGCTGACCTTCAGTTCCAGGGGCTGGCCAACTGGGCGATTGGCCGTCCCAAGCCGTAATTCAAATGTGAGGGCATCAAGTGAAGATCGCGTGTCGCGCCGTCTTACTGTTGAATGACCTTCATGCATATTATGAACGCACGACGCAGCCAGCCCTGTCTCTGACGCACCCATTGCAAAGTCCCGCGTCATTGTTTCCGTCGTCGCCAAAACCGCACCAAATAAAGTCACCTGTTGGCCGTTCACGGAAGCAAGCAAGATCCGTGTGTGCGCGCTTGTGACGTGCGCGCAGCGGGGAGGGGAGGCGGGAGCTGATGACTCACGAGAGCACGCGGCAGGCCGGCAGCCGGCTGCCGGCGGCCGGCGGCCGGCTGCGCCACGCTCTGCATCACGTCGCAATCTAGTCACGTGTTACGCGTCAAACATCCGGCGCGGCACCGCCTGCCGCGGATCACGTGTCACCGGAGGAACTGCGGAACATGCCGAACCGGCCGGCGGCGGCTCGGAGCCGAGCACGGCATCGAGGCGAGCTGAGGTGGGAGGAGCCCCTGAGGCGGGCTGAGGTGGGAGGGAACCGCTGAGACGGGCTGAGGTGGGAGGGACCCCTGAGGCGGGCTGAGGTGGGAGGGAACCGCTGAGGTGGGCTGAGGTGGGAGGGGCCCCTGAGACGGGCTGAGGTGAGAGGAAACCGCTGAGACGGGCCGAGGTGGGAGGGGCCCCTGAGGCGGGCTGAGGTGGGAGGGGCCTCTGAGGCGAGCTGAGGTGGGAGCGGACCACTGAGGCAGGCTGAGATGGGAGCGGACCGCTGAGGTGGGCTGAGGTGAGAGCGGACCGTTGAGGCGGACTGAGGTGGGAGCGGAGCACTGAGGTGGGCTAAGGTGGGAGAGGGCCGCTGAGGCCGGCTGAGGTGAGAGCGGGCCACTGAGGCAGGCTGAGGTGGGAGCGGACCGCTGAGGTGGGCTGAGGTGAGAGCGGACCGTTGAGGCGGACTGAGGTGGGAGCGGACCACTGAGGTGGGCTGAGGTGGGAGGGGACCGCTGAGGCCGGCTGAGGTGGGAGCGGACCGCCGAGATGGGCTGAGGTGGGAAGGGTCAGGTGACAGGCGAGAGCAGGTGAGAAGCGGGCCATTGCGTGATGAGGGTACAGGTGAAGCGGGGGTCGCCGAGGTGAGGAGAGGTGAGCAGGGATTCTTTAAGGTACGCAAAAGTTTGAAAAAACTTTGAGGCACGAAAAAAGAAAGGAACGTTAACCGAGGCGAGCAAAAGTTGAGACAGGGACAGATGTTTCAGACGAGCTAAGATAAGTGGTGCACGTCGGTCAGCTGTTTGAGACGAGCTAGGATAAGTGGTGTACGTCGGACAGCTGTTTGAGACGAGCTAGGATAAGTGGTGCACGTCGGACAGCTGTTTGAGACGAGCTAGGATAGGTGGTGTACGCTAGACAGCTGTTTGATACGAGCTAGGATGAGTGGTGTACGTCGGACAGCTGTTTGAGACGCTAGGATGAGTGGTGTACGTCGAACAGCTGTTTGAGACGAGCTAGGATAGGTGGTGTACGTCGGACGGCTGTTTGAGACGAGCTAGCATAAGTGGTGTACGTCGGACAGCTGTTTGAGACGAGCTAGGGTAAGTGGTGTGCGTCGGACAGCCGTTTGAGACGAGCTAGGATAAGTGGTGTACGTCGGACAGCTGTTTGAGACGAGCTAGGATAAGTGGTGTACGTCGGACAGCCGTTTGAGACGAGCTAGGATACGTGGCGTACGTCGGACGGCTGTTTGAGCCGAGCTAGGATACGTGGTGTACATCGGACGGCTGTTTGAGACGAGCTAGGATAGGTGGTGTACATCGGACGGCTGTTTGAGACGAGCTAGGATAAGTGGTGTACGTGTACGTTCTGTACAAATTGCAGGGGCTGCCGCCAGGAGCGGCGGTTAGGCACTCATGGCTAAATAGGGTTGCGGAATAAAACGGACCCATGTGTAACCCAAACTGAGCGTCAAATGTCACCAGACGTTGACCGGAGATGGAGAGCAGAGAGCCGTGCGAGAACGGGGATGGACGCTGAACGGCAGGACGCTAACGGGGGAGAGCCGAATGGCGACGAACGCGGCGTCAGGAGGCCACGGGCGGGCGTCGGCGCGGACGGCAGATGGCGGCCAGCGCGCGAGAGCCGGCAGACGGCCACAGCCAGAGGTGACGGCACGAAAGGCCGCGCGCTGGCCGGCCATACGGCCACTCTGCAGCGGCAGCAGTCCAGCTCTAAATACCGGCCATTAGCGGACGGATGGTGATTATCGCCGGAAGAGGCAGGCGTGAGCGGGCCAGCTGCGCGACACACCATCCCGCCACGGGGTCAGCGGCCGCTGGCTGGCCCGCTCCTTGCGCTGAGTGCCTCTCCACGCCACTGGCCAGCGCCGAAGGGAAATCCAGACTGGCATCGCATGACAATGCGGCGAACTCGGGTTAAATTCCCCCACTGCACTTCTGGTATGCTGCGGTTCTAAGAGGTGCCGCGGCGCCTTGCACCAGTGGAAGGATGGCCTTTGATAAGCACGATGAATGCCATCCTGATGCACGCACTTCTGAGCCGCCCTGCCCGGGTGGGACTCGACAAAACTATCTGCTAACTTAACTGCGAAATGCGCCAAGTCCATGAGCGGTACACCAGCGGCGAGACACCTGTCGATAACGCATGCCGCAGCGGCAGGCGCCCCCGGCGACGGCGCCGCGCGGCGATCGTCCGGCTCCTTGAGGTAACCGGGCCACAGCGATCCATCGGCCGGCCGCCCAACGGTGCGCCGCGACCCGGCGCCGACGCGGCCCGAGCTGGACACGTCACCAGATGTGGCCCGGCACGAACCGCGCGCCGGGAGCGCACCGGTCGCATCCCAAGGCCGTCGGCACGAAGCGTCCCCGCGCGCGTAGGAACGTCCCGCGAACCGCGGGAGGAGGGACCGACTTTTGGCGGGTTGTGCGCGCCATATAACTTATGTGGGTATGTTATGGAACAAACCGACGGAAAAGTTCGCAACTCGCGCGATGCGATGGCCAAGCAATGGTATACTTAGTGTAAGGCGTATCCAAAAAATGGTAGACATGTTCACGACTATCACGCATGTGCGTTTTCAAAACTTTAACCTCGACACACAGAAAACCAAAATAGGAGCAATACGACGGTTTTGGTTTACCGACACAGTCAGCTTTCTCAGAATCCTCTGACCGCGTGTGAGACTTGGGAGAGTGCAGCATAGAACATATCAACAGCCGTATCATCGCAGATGACACTCGAGCCTCGGCAAACACGAGCGGCGACGCCTGAAGGATGGTGCGGCCCACGCCGCTGGTACGGCGGGGGGTGCATCTGGTGCGGCCGGTGAGGCTGGCGTGGCAAGGGTGGTCGGACGAGGCTACACCTACCTTCAGGGGTGAGCCCGGAGGCCCGCCGCTGACCCGGCGACGCCGCCTGACCCGGGTGCGAGGCGGGGGTCGCCCTCTCCGGCGGCCGGGGGATCGGCTGGTGTGAGCCCTGCAGCAGACGAGGACGGGTACGGTGAGACTGCGGCCGGTGGCGCATCACTCAGCTCCGATGCCATACCCGGGACGGCTACCCAGCGGACGCGGAGTGGAGTGGGGGGGGGGGTCCTCGGGTCAGGGTTAGGGAGCGCAGCCCACGGAGGGGCCGGATCACGGACGGATCACGAGCGCATGACCGGATCACGAACGCATGGCCAGTTCACGAGCGCATGGCTGGATCACGAGCGCATGACCGGATCACGAACCCATGACCGGATCACGAGCGCATGACCGGATCACGAGCTGGCAGCGTCGTTCCAGGGTAAGTCGGCTCAGCCGCATCACGACCCCGGCACGGCACGGACACTGAGCAAGCGGAGGGGTGAAGCGCGAGGCCACGCCGAGGGTGGGCGGATGGACAGCCGCGGCGGAAGTGTGCTTCGCTTCTGGTCACGTGACGATCCCGTCATGCAGGAAACGCTCGCTCAAGCTGAACTGATCCTAAAGATCCGCAGCTATCAGGTGCATTGTCGTCGACCGCGGTGCACGGTGGCGAGTATGCATACGCGAATTACAATGGGCTAACTTAATCAACTCTCGAAGCGGTCAAGGCAGCGTCGGTTTGGCTGCATCCCCCGCCTCATGCAGAGACAGTGGCAATATCAATGCAGTTACTAAAGTCCGTCATCTCGGGGGGTTCGATATCTACAAGAGCGTCGTAACAATGTGCGAGTCGTTCGAGCCGACACTGTACCGCGACCAACAACTGAACGCAGCTGGCTGACGGGGCTCATCTGATGGAGTCCGTGACCCCCAAGCGCCGGCCGGAAATTAGCCGTTTCCGGCTGATACGACTGATCCGGACGTTTCGGGGTGGTGGGCACCGCGTACCGAAGCAGCTGCCTGCTCCCAGCACAGCTGGAGACAATAGACGGACGGCACGGTATGCGAACGCGGTGGGGTCGATGACACGAGCCCAAAAGGGACTTTTCGATATCCCTGCAGCATCGCAGGGATATCGAAAAGTCCTCTGACAAATCATGTCCTGGCCCGTGCCGCTGTCGCGGCCCGCCGCCAGGCGGTGCAGCTCACCCTGGCCGGCGTCGCGTCGTAGCCGACGGTGCCGTCCTGCACGAGCCGGTCGCGGCGGTGACGCAGCTCGGCGTCGTCGCGGCGCCGCTGCTCGACGGAGCGGCCGATCACCTCCACACAGCCGACGCCAGCGCGGTCGATTGGGTGGATGATCTCTGGCTTGGCGCGGAACTCGCCGTACACCTGGTCCCGATCGCGCCGCTTCTCGTCGCGGCCGAACTTGAGCAGCTTCTTGAGCGAGAAGCGGCCGCGCGGCCGCGGCTCGTCGCGCCGCGAGCGCCGGTCGTCGTCGCCGCCGAGCCGGCGCCGCACCTCGTCGTCGCGCATCAGCCGCTCGTCGAGCAGGCCGGGCCGCGGCACGGACTGCGAGCGCGGCTTGGCGGCGCCCGGCCGGCGCCACTCAGCTGCGCCCGGCGCGAAGCTCACGGCCGGGCCGCCGCGCCGCCGCGAGCGTGGACTGACGGAGAGCGTGCGCAACGGCGGTGCCGGCGGTGCCTCCTCCTCATCCTCGTCCGTGCTGGTGGATAAGCGCTGTTCGGGCGAGGGCTCGAGGCTGGCGGCGGGCCGCGCCCGCTCCGCGAGCGGCGGCGGGCCCGGCGCTGGTGGCGCCACTTCCGGAGGGGATGGGCTGGGAACGTCCGACTGGCGCGGGAGTCGCTGCCGGTTTTCCGCTCTGGCGTGGCTGTGAAGCGCGCTTGATCGCCGAGGGGAGGGTGGACTGTCCGGGGGCTTCGGTGCGTCACATGTTCCCCGGCCGGCAGGTCCTATTGACCCGCTATCCTGTCCAGTTCCCGTCCCCTGAGACGCCAGAGCGCGATGCCCGTCCGCTCGCCCCACGCTGGCAGGCTCGGCTCGCTCGAGAACCTTTTTCTCCTCTCGATTTCGTTTCTCCAGCTTTTCTCGCTGCCGTTCCAGCTCCTTCTCACGCTTCATGGCACGTTGCGTCTTCGTCTCGGCATCCCTGTGCAGCGAGGATTTGGGTGAATAGGAGTTGACCTTCTGCAGATCGCCTTCGGTCTGCTCGTCGCGTGCCACCTTCTCGTAATCGAGGCTCTTGGTCAATCTGACGGGTGATCTCTCCCGCTCGATTTCCTGTTCGGAGCGACCGCGCACTGTGATGTCGTCACCGTCCTCCCCGGAACCATTTTTCGAGCGATGCCGTGTATCCACTTTCGCCAGGTTCATGTCGTCAGTTTGCAGGCTTGCTCGCCGGTCGCCATTGTCCCCACCTGTCTGATGACTTAACCCTCTAACTTTTCCCGACTTTGCAGCCAGCCGTGGCTTTTCACCGGGAATGGGCGGCTTATGGGCGCCGGCAGCCGGTTTCGCTGCGCCTCTGGCGTCCGTGTCCGCGTGCTCTGCTGTCGCCTCGTTCTGCCCGACGGCTGCCGCGCGCTTCGACCGTTCCCTGCCGTACACATGTTTCTGCTTCGTGTCGGCGATAGCGTTTTCGCCATTTTTGCCGACGCCACCTGCAGAATCGGGCTTCTGGCTGCTGACGTCACTCGCGGCTGCCTGCGACTCCGCAGCTGTGGGAGGCACGGAAGCGCGTGGGGGCGATTTGGCACGATCTGCTGCCGACTTACCTACGCCAGGTACAGAGCCAGCCATTTCGCTGGACGATTTGCGCTTGGTACTAGGAGAAATGCCATCTAGGGAATTGAGCTTTGCTTGATTTCGCTCCAGTTTTCCGTGAGTGCGCCAAGCTGCATCTTTCTGTGCGCTCGCCTTCTCGGCAAGCCTCTTTTTGATGGCGTCGATATTGCTGACGGGCTCGGACGAAGGTCCCATGCGGGTGACGTCACCGCCTTCTGCGGGTGCCGCACCGTCGCGATTACCGTCTGCACGCCCGCCTCCGGGCTTCGGATCGTGTCCTGTGGTCAGTGAGCCGTCAGGCTTGGCGCGCAGCATCGCTCGGCTCTCCAGAACCGCGCTCTGCAGGCCGCTTGCGTCGCACGACGGCCTCGCGGTGACCGGCTTCGGCGCCGAGTCCTGCTTGACCTGCGCCGGTGGTGGGGTGTCGCTGCCGGAACGGCCGGCCTCGCCCGTCCCTTCGTCGCCCGACGATTTCGGCGAGTCATCTAGCCGGGTGACCTTCTCGTCAAGCTTGGTGACTCTCTCGTCCAGCCTTGTGACGCGCTCAGTGCCCTTCGTCGCCTTCTTCTCCACCATCTCCTGGCGCAGCCGCTCGCTCGACACGATCTCGCCGTTCTGCATCGGCGCCACGGGGTTCACCTTGAGCGGGCCGGGACCGCGCCCCGTCGAGAACGGCGCGACGCACACAACCGGCGTGAACTTCTTGTGGCGGCCCGTCAACGCGCTGCGCTCAGTCGTCACGTCATTTTCGTCGACCCAGTCGACGAGCGTGCGAGACGCGCCCGTCAAGTTGCTGTTGATCGAGTTGAAGTCGGTGTTGCGTTTGGTGAGGTTGAGGAACGCCCGCTCCTCGGGGCTGAGCACCTCCGACGGCTCGGCGCGCTCATCGCCGTCGCCATCGTCGTCAGCCGGCTCGTCGTCGGACGACGCCGGCTCGCCGCCGACGCCGATGATCTCGGGCTCGTCGCGGAAGACGATGGCGAGGGCGCGGCGGCGGCCGCGCGGGCGGCTCTCCGTCATCAGGATGCCGGCGAGCGCTGGCTGCCGCGCCGCGCTCGCCAGCAGCGAGCGGTTGATCGCCGACGTAACGAGCGCACCGCTCTCGTCGCGGTCCGCGGCGGCCTCGCCGCGGAACGAGATGCGGCCGCTTGTGCCGAGCCCGCTGCCGACGAGCTCCGAGTCGGCGCCGCGTCGGCCAGTCAGGTCCAGACGTCGCATCGTCAGCCGGCGACAGGTCGGCTCGCGCTGGCCGTGTCGTCACGCGAGGCCCGAGCGGAGAGACGTCTGGAGGCGCGCGGACGCCGGGCGGACGGGCGTGGCGTCGCTCCGGGCCGCGATCTCGCCCGGCTCTGTAGGCCGCAGCACTCACCGGCCGGCCGCGCACGCTCGCCGCCGACTCGCCGCAAACGTCCTCCACTGGCGGGAACACGACACGGCGCGCCTCTCGCACTCACTGCTGGCCGCGGCGCGCCGCAGCCCCCGACAGTCGGCACGGAGCGCGTAGCTGAAGCGGCCGCTGCATGACAGCGCCGTCACAGGCGGGCGGGGCGGCCGTGCCGTGCGCACCACCGCGGGCGCGGCGCCGGGGACCGCACACGCCGCCCGGCCGCGCCAGGCAACTGAAGGTCGCAGGAGGAAGGACGCGCCGACCCCGGCCGCCGCCGCGTCAGCAGCGGTGTCCGGTTGGCCGCTGGTCGCCTGATCGCCCGCTGTCTGTCGGGCGAGCGCGAGCGCTCAGCGGGGCTGGGGGCGGTTGGCGGCTGGTCCCTGTTCGCCGCGACTGTCGGGCGCCAGCGCCTGACGGCTGCCGCGGAAGGGATGGCCGGTGACGTCACCCGCCGCAGCGGCGCGCTGCACGGCTGCACGCGGAATTAATCACAGTGACGTCAGTGTAAACACGGCAGGGCGCTGGCGCCACCCTGATTCAGCGGCGGAGAAGCGCAAACTGCCGCAGCACCGCGTCGCCGGCGACACGCGGGCGCGCGTGCCACGGGCGGCGCGCCTGCGGAGCGCACGTACGCCGCACTGGCACAGCAGTGCCCTCACTTTCCACCGGCCAGCCGCGCCCGCCTCTGCCCGCGCCGCGCCGACGCCGAATCTCCAGCCGGGCCCGCAGCCGTACACCCGCTGACAGCGCGTCGCGCTGGCCCGGTACAATCGCTGACAGAGTGGCAGCCGGCTGGCGCATGGCAGGCGAAGGCAAGAAGAAAAACCGGGCCCGTTAGATCAATCAAGGTCGGGTAACCGCCACAGCGGTGTCACTTGGTTGCTGTCGGCTGGCTGGGCGACCGTGGGACGGCGATTTTGTGGCTCCCACGGTGGGCATTCACAGTTGACAATCTGGGTCAGGAGTCGTCACCACTTCGAGGATTCCAAGGCCGCATGCCTTTTGTACATACGTAAGCCTGGGTATGGTGTCACATGCCAATTGGGGCGAGCCCACCAATTCTCCCCAATTTACAAAGCCTTACGTGTATTGTTCGGGAGACTGCATGTCGAAATGCCTGGGTAAGCATGACCAGCCATCCAACAACGCCAAGTGATAAATTAGGATTTTAGTTCTGTATTTCGTTGGAAGGGCTCCTGTCCCCGAACTTTGCCCCTACCCCGTACTTCAAGCGGAGGGCAGGCTATACCTGCGTGTAAACTGGATTCGGCTCCAAAATTTAAGCAGTTTTTGTCATTTCCCAAGCCCCAGCCCCCAAACTGAGTTAACAGAACTGCGTCGCAGCTGGATATGATATTGATGGAATTGAGACGAGAATTGTGCCTAATGTTATGGCATCATTCTCGTCTCTCGTCTCTCGTCTTATAATGCACCGTGGCCACTAGACCTGTGCAATGTTCCTCATTCCGGATGGGGTCTGACTCGAGAAATTTCATCGCGCCGAGTTACGCGGGAATCAGCGGATTGGTCTGAATCCCTGATAATTGGGCATGTTGTGGCGAACAAAAAAGTCTGATTCTAAGCGTTGCTGACTTTGTTTCTGAAAACTCATCGAGCCATATATATTTGCATATGTACATGTGAGCTAGTCCAAAAAAGATCGAAAATCGAAAAGATATATCAATCGGATGTCAATTAGCCAATTGCCAGTTGCCTGTCAAATCTTACTCGCCAGGGTGTTCTTTCGTCAAATGCTAATTTGCCGAAATGTTATTTGATCAAATGTTGATCAGCTGAGTATGCTTTAGTCGAGTGTTGATACATCAAAATGCTGTAAATGGGTTGAAGACAGAGGCCGCTTGACCTTCGCCCAGCGGGAAATAAGCTTAAGGCTGCTGTTCTATTCGTCTGTTCAACTATATCAGAAGCTAAATAAGCAAGACCAAGCTGAATTACTCCATTTCCATAGCAGGATTGGGAACGCCCCACCAGCAATGTCAGCAATACGTTAATTCATCCATCGCCCGTTACATTCCGTGGGCGGTGCTACACTAGTGATTATTTTGAATATTCCGATTCACGTTTCCACCACATCAACTTGACTAATCGCCGTTTGACGAACTTGTGCTCGTCTGATTACGCTGCCCAAAGTCACGTTTCGATTAAAAGGCATCCAATTAATCAACATTCGGTGATTTTCCATCTGTCAAGTTGCCGTGCATCAAATTTGCGTATCGCCAAAGGCCAACACAGATCACCTAGCATGCGACGGCACTAACGATGAAGACCACGCGGAACCGACAGCCGGGGCTCGTTGTCGGTGCTACATTGTCGGACGGCAGGATCAGCTGGATTTTATTTCGTAACATTCATTTCTATTCATTTTCACAAGTGTGCATCGAATATTCACACACACGACGAGAGGAGAGAGAGAGAGAGAGGAGAGAGAGAGAGAGATGAGGAGGAGAGAGAGAGAGAGAGGAGGAAGAGAGAGGAGAGGTAATCGAGATGGAGCAATGAGTGAGGAGGAGAGATGACGATGAAGGAGAGAGGAGAGAGAGAGAGAGAGAGAGAGAGAGAGAGAGAGAGAGAGAGAGAGAGAGAGAGAGAGAGAGAGAGAGAGAGAGAGAGAGAGAGAGAGAGACCAGGCGTGGCCACGCTAAACTTGACCTATTTTTGTAATTTACCTTGTAAAGGCCGCTTACATATGGCAGGTCAAAGTCAAAAATTCAAGCCGTAGCTGTCAGCAAAGGCATCTTCTAGGGAATCCTTGATTTGCATGCGACAACGGATTATTAGACGAAGCTATACATTTTAACCATAGTTTCTAAGCCTACAATTACACCATTTAATTTTGGATTGCGACGTTCTATCGGCCTTGTTCAGGTATGACGGTTAAATAGACCTAAAAACGACCTTTTTTACTGGAGAGGTTACTTTGTAAGGTAGTGTCTGGTGCTCTTTTCGAATTTCTGAATGAAAGAGACCGCAGCGGACATCTTTCATGAGCATGTTTATGAGTCCATATAAGGTCACTGACCTAGAATGACCTAATTCAATCTTTTGTTCTTTGGAGAACATACCACCTAGCGAATTCTTTGACGCTTTTTGAACTTTCTAAATCAAAATAATCTCGTGGTATTTTGTTCGCCATGACCTCCCATGACTCTTGACTTAGAACATGCATGCAGGTTCAAGGCAGTTGCACGTGGAGGTATCGTGGCACTTTGGGCACAAATCTGGAGTTTGACTTTCCTTGACCTTATCCGACCCGAGAGTTATGACCTAGGAACATGAAATGCTTTATCAAGTGAGTTCACATGCAAGCCAACCCACCCTGCGAATTCGGCGTCCCTATCTCTCTCAGCGAATGTCTTAGAAGAGTCAAGTTTACCTCTTCCCGAGGGTGTGACTTAAAACATCGAACACCCGACGCGTGTTCGATGCGGCGAGCGCTCCACTTTTGCGTGCGGTTTTAACCGAAGTAGCCCATCTTGGAGATCGTTCGGTGGAGTTACTAGCCATGCCCCTCCTAAGGCCTAATCCCTCTAGTTTTTTAGACATACGTCCGCGAAGATGTGCAGACTATGTGGGGAGAGCGGAATATTTTGAGTTCACCCAGGTATCAATGACGCCATAAAAACGTCATCAAATCCTGTCATTCCATTAGCCATACGGCGATTAAAGTTATCTGTTGAGTTGTTCATATCTGGTGTTGATGAGCGCAATTTCCATATACAACGGCCGTCAATTGGCTCTCAATTCATGTTGTGCAGTGTGTGATGACGTAATCGGGCAATGACGTGTTGGATAGCATATGTACTAAACAGATAATGGTGTTGTCAAGAACAGTCTTTTCCACGTGAAAGTATGGCAGTACTTATAAGTGGGCTTATTTCATCACGTCTCAAACTGTTTCAGTATATTCAAATGTGGGACATGCCTCTTAAAACTAAAAATAAGCACTCCTCCAAGTGCCATTTAAGGCGATGGAACTCAACCTGTCCCAAAATACATTAAGGTTGTGGGAATGCCTCTCCCTCACACATTTCAATGAACATGCACTGCGAGCCTGCTGTTCTCTTAGGGTGCACCGTTCCAAGCTCTGTTCTGCTCTGTCCCTGAAGGAAAGCGACCCTCTCCCACTTCAGTTTGAACATGTGGCAAACGAAACGCCCGTAATGACAATGCCATTTGCAGTGCAGGTTGGTTGTATCATCGTTATTCTTGAGCTGGTTCTTCAGTGATCATGCGAGCGTACTGCCTTTCGCTGCTTGTTGCGTAATGAGCTCACCCATGTTCAGCCAGCCTGCGGACCCCGACGGCGTTGACGATGATCGTCCGTTGCGCGTTGAATCCATGCGCCCTTCCGCAAAAATGTTCTGAAATCATGCTGCCTAAGATAAGGTTTCTAAAAAAGGCACAGCACCGAGGTTATTGTCAGGCGTTAAATGACACGCGCTATTAATTTTACAATGGCTAAGCGGTATTTTTCTAAACCAGTAGCACTCAGGGTCTCGCCGGACCTTTTTGTGGATGTGTGGGTGACTGGTCTACTGAGGTGGCTATTGAAACTGAGTGAACGTAAATGGTAACTTGAAATGAGTTCAAGGTTTGTATTGACCATGCCAAACCACATTCGTTTGAGAATGTTCAACTGTCATTCAGAATTTAATGGTGCAAAAAAGCACACAGCTTTGAGCATACGCGCTTGCAAGTCTTGAGAAAAACCGACACCAGGCATTACCGACAACAGTAACAGACAACAGACCGGCAAAAACCGACAACAGTCTCCGAAGGTTGCACGGCGTCAGTCTTCGACTTACACTAGGTGGTGGCCAACGGGCGGACGAAAACGATGACGCATCTGAAAGAAGTACCTTTGAACACTTTAGGACCTCAAATAGTACGTTTAAAGGCATTCCAAGCTGATATTTGACCAGCACGATGTTGAAATTGGGAATAGAAACGATAAGTATTTACGGCCTCGCAGAATAGCGCCGTCATATGATGGTGGGACTGTAAAAGTAAACGTGAAATATGTATGTCTTGGCATTGGTGTGATTGTAAATCGGTTCGGAGGTCAACCTCACACTTCTACGTGTAAAACGTACGCCCCAGTCTAGTCTTTGAACGAAACTAACGATTTTGATAGATTTTCGGCAG